AAAGCCTGGAAGGCAGTGGGTGCAGGCCTACGGAGGGCACTACTACATACGACAGCAAGGCACCTGTCGAACGAGGCACTCCAGAGGCTGCTACGGCACGGTCGAGCCACACCCAAGGCCGTCAAGGCTGCTGGGCATTTGTGGTGCAGCGTTTGTGCCAGTCTGGTGAGACCAACTGCGTCGAGACCTACCAAATTGCCGGCGACGCCGTACGAGTTCAACTATCATCGAGATCGATGTCCTCGAGGAGTACAGGGCCAACGGCACTCGAGTCTCATTCCTCAACATGGTGTGCGACGGGGCAGGGCACCAGCAAGTAACGACGTTACGCTATGGTGGAGGGAATCCAACAGGCAAGGATATATTTGAGGCGCTCATGTCCAAGTGGGTGTCGTGGGCAGACACGCCCTACCGAGTTTTCATGGGTCAAGCCCGTAACAACATGGCCTACGCCAGGGAGCAGCTGATCGCACGCGGGGCGCACTGCGAGTTCACCAGATTGGAGCAGCACCACCACCTCGGGCGCTGTGAGCGAGCTGGCGGTGTCTGGAAGGAGCTCTGGAGACGTGCGTGCTACGACCAGCAGCTCACCACCGAAGGCGACGTAGAGATCGGCGCGGCCGAGACGAACCAGGCGAAGAACTCCATGATGCGGAGAGGCGGCTTTGCTCCAGTGCAGTGGGTTCTCGGTCGTGACGTGCGGATTCCAGGCAGTCTGGTTGATCCCGTGGAAGCGAGCCGTTTAGATACGCATGATGCCATCCTGACACGTGGGAGCGTGATGGCCAAGCAGGTGGCGCTGAGAGATGCTGCGCGCAAGGCGTATATGGAGGTGGACAGCGACGACCGCATGAGGCGAGCGATGTTTGCTCGTATTCGACCGATGAGAGGACCGTGGCCGCCGGGAAGCCTCGTGTATCCTCACCAGAAGCAGCGACCAGCTACGAATTAGCACCCAGCAGTCGGTCGCTGGCACGGCATATGCAGAGTAATTGGCCACGACGTTCCGAGCGGAGATGCTGGGCGGCCTCAAGGCCACAGCATCTGGTTGAACTGCCAGGAACAGCAGATCCTCGCGGCACCGGAGCACGTGAGCTGGGCGACGCCTGAGGAGATCCTCGCCTGGAATGTCCCAGGGGGCGTGGCAAATGAGGTCGACGCCGAGCATCGGACAAGGGTCATCTACGCAGACGTACGTTGGAGGCCGACTTTCCCCGAGGAGACCAAGGAGAGCGAGGAGCAGTCAGACGCCGAGGATAAGCTGTCGGACACGCCGATCGTGGTGGTGCCCGTGCCCGAGACGGAGCCGACGACTATGGAGATTGACGGCGCGAACGAGCTCCAGGACAAGCAGCCGAGCGGACAGGAGGACCCAGACGCGAATGCGACCGACGACAAGGGCCCCATGGCGGACACAGAGGGCGAGAGCTCGACCAGTGAGGGCAAGATGCATCCTCTATTGCTGGGCGAGGTCGGTGGTCAGAACAGGCAGATTTCGTTCGATGCGGGCGCGTGCTGGTTGGCGCGACGTCGGCACTCACAAGCACGGCGCCAGGAAGAGCTGGAGGCCAAGATCGCGCTCGTTGCGGAGGGCCGGAATTGCGAGGCGCGCGACCGATTGTGGATTCGTTTCTTGACCAAGCGCAGCGGACAGATCGAGATGGCGTACGCGGCGAAGGCTGAAGGTATGCCCGTCAGCAAGACGCTGGAGAAGCAGCTCGGGAGACGCAAGGGTAAGCCTGGACGACGTGAGCTCAAGGAGCGAGAGATCCCGAAGCACTTGAACGAGGCGCTCGATGGGCCAAGAAAAAGGAATGGATCAGTTGGTGTCACTGCGATGCGGTCGAGATCCTCACCGCGAAGCAGGTCCGTGAATTGCCGCGCTATGTGCAGGCTGCGCCAGCACGATTCGTAGTCACGGACAAGAGCGAGGCGATGCGGACGGACGAGAACAACCTCCCCGTCAAGCTGAAGGCGAGACCGGTGGTGCTGGGCAATCTGGAGAAGGACTCCAACCACGGGCGAGATGCGCTAACTGGGAGCCTTCTGGCCCAGCATATATGGTACTGGCCTGGGCGGCGTCTGGTGGGGGACATCGTGCTGGGCCAGCTCGCGTGGTACGCAAGATGGATGCGGAGACCGCCTACCTGCAGGGGGGCGTCATAGATCGCGAACTGTACATCAGGCCACCGTCTGTAGCATGACGGAGAGCTAGTCGGCATGTGCACGACGCACGTTGACGACATCTTGATGGAGGGCTACGGCAAGCACTACGAAGAGAGCCTCAAGACCTTCAAGAGCCTGGTGGACTTTGACCAGGACGAGGTGCTGAAGTTCCAGCACTGCGGCAAGACCATCGAGCAGAGCAGCGACGGGACCGTGGAGATTGGGCAGAAGGAGTGCGCCAAGAACATCACCCATATCCAGATCGCACCGAGCAGGAAGCGACAGCGGGACGCAGCATGTACTGCAGCCGAGATTTCCATGCTACGTGGGCGTTATGGGAGTCTATCACGGTTGCAGCGACAGACGCGGCCAGATCTGTTTCTTGCGAGTTCGACTGGACAATCAGCTTTCGCGTCACCGACGGTGAACGACCTGTTCGAGTGTAACAAGGCAGTGAAACAGGCACACGAGTTTGCGGATCGGAAGGTCATATTTCGCGGAGGTTTTATGGACTGGCAGAACGCACACGTATTCGTGAGCACGGACTCGGCGCACGCGAATGTCCAGGACGTCGTGCTGCAGTACGGCGAGGACGGCGAGGCCACGGGCCTCAAGGCGGAGCCTCTTCGTAGCCAGCAACGGCAAGTGGTCGGGCTGATGACACCACTGGACGAGAACGGTAACACGAAGATGTACGTCATGGAGTGGAAGAGTTAGGTCGAGAAACGCGTTTCCCGGAGCACCTTGGCGGCGGAGACGTATGCGCTGGCGAAGGGCACCGAGATGGCGGATTGGCTCAGGGCGGTGTTGCTCGAGAGTCGTGATCCAGAGTACCACGTTGCCGAGTGGGAGAATCGGACAAAAGAGATCCACGCACTGTGGATGTGCGATGCCAAGAGCGTGGTGGACCACCTGAGCAGTGACGTGGGCACGCACCAGGATAAGCGCGTGGGCATCGAGCTTGCGGCGCTGAAGCAGCTACTGGTGAGGGGTGGAGATGAGCTGCGTTGAGTGGACACCAGCATGATGCTGGCAGACCCTTTGACTAAGGGAGATGCGCTGGACGACCAGGTCCTCCAGCGGGTGTTGTACAGCAACGAGTACAACATCAACGCCCGCGCGGAGATGAAGGAGTTCAAGGACCGTAAGGCGGCGATGATACGGGACTTGAAGGTAAGGCGTAAGGCAGACTCTTTTGGAGTCGAGACCAGGCAGCATGACGGCTCAGGCGAAGAGCAGGAGGCTACGTGAGTGAGAGGTTTACTCGGATTTCAGTTCTTGCGTTCATTTCATCTTGTCTCGCGCCAGTTGGGCGTTGAGTTTCGCATGTCTCGCGTCAGTTGGGCGTTGAGTTTCGTATGCGGCAGAACCCATCGGTTCGTGCCTTTCCATATTGCGTTGGTTGAAGCCTTTTCTTCTTTTAAGAGGGGTGTGAACTAACATCCGTGTCTAAGAATGCAAGGCCCTCTCACGCTCTCGTATGCTTTGTGTTAGCGTGATGCAAGCGTGCCGCTGCTGATTCTCGCTCTCTGTATACCTACAAGGGACCCCTTCGAGCACTGCTACTGTGCGACCGCCTCGCATGTTCGATCAAAGAGCGCGAGGCCTTCATCTCATCAATCGGTGGCGCTGTGGCGGGGACGCTTGTCACAATAGTGCTGTTCCGGGAGAGTACATCTCACAACCACAGAGTCTGAAATGGGCTGTATGGGGCTCGAACTCAAAGAAAACGCCCGTCTGGTTTTTGGCACACGATGCCAGAGCTTGGGTCGCCCTCCACTGCTGTTCCTCTTCGTCCTTTCCAGATCTCCCCGCCTGCGCGCTCTCCCAGAGCCTTGTACTCCTCCTTTCTCTTTCACCTCCTCCGGTGCACCTTTTGCCCCTTCTTCTCCTCCCCCTCCTCCTTATCCCCTGTCTTCGCATTCTCATGTTTCCATATCCTTCTCCTCCCTGCTGATGCAGCTGATGCAGCTGCTCCTCCTCCCTTGTCTCCGCCTTCTCCTCCCTCCCTCAGTCTCTCTTTCTCTCTCTTTCTTTTTCTCTTTCTCGTTCTCCTTCTCTTTGTATTGTTATGTGCTTTGAATTTCCCTCTCTCTCTCTCTCTTTCTCTTTATTTTTCTTCTCTCTCTCTCTCTCTCCCCCCCGCTCTCTCTGTCTAATTCTCTTTCTCTCCGTATTTTCTTACACGTGTGTACATATATATATATATATATGTGTATATGTACACGTGTACGGGCACGGGCTCTACCTGTTTATACATAAAAACATGCGTGTGCAAAGCCATCACTTTCTTGCAGCAAGCTTGAACAGAAAGGGACACCTTCAAGAACCTACGTACATAAACAGCCGAAAACCTCCGACGACGTCCGAAGACCCCCTCTGCCTCTCCCTCCTCCTTCCTCTTTCCCCTGCTGCTGCCGTTGCTGCTGCTGCTGCTTCTCCTCCTCCTCCTCATCGCAATCTTCCTCCTCTTCCGCCGACGCGACGAACAAGACGACGACGAAGATTCATTCCATTTCTTTCTTCTTTATCCCCCTCCTGCTTTCACTGATCGTCTCCATAACCATTCGAAACTTCCGAGTACCTCCTGGAACCCAGTGGAATCTCCCCAAAATCTCTGACCCCCCTGAAACACCAAATAAGCCCGCTTCCTCTTTTCTGTATTCTTCCTCCTTCTCCTTATCCTCCTTCTCTTTTTCTCTCTCCTTCATGCTTCTGGAAGCTTCCCGAGGCCCAGCGCGAGCCAGAAACGTCAAACACCTAGGTCCTCGATCCTACTTCTATCTCTCCCTTCATACCGCGCCGCCCCAATCTAGCCAGCGGCGCGGTCCCGCCTCCGTCCCAGCCAAGGGGAAGATGGCGAGCTGCTGGATCTCAGACAGCAGCGAACAGTCCTTGACGGGGAGGGCAAGGAGTAAAAGGAGAGACATGATAGAACATTGATCTGCTTGTTTTCGTGTCCTTTTCAGGCCTCCGAGGACCGCACCAGGCCACCATGGACTTCTGGGAGGAGGAGGATGAGGAGGAGGTTGGGAAGAGCAGATGACCAGAGCAAGCCCAGGTTGCATCACAGATATTGAAATACACCCTTCAGTCCCGAACCCGCTCTCCAGAACTCCCTACAAACACTTTTCCCACTACCTGAGGCGCCTCTGCGAAATAAGATTGCCCACGGGCCTGCCATTCAAGCGATAGCCCAACTTGAAGAAACAACCGCCCTCCATCCTACGAAGGAAGGTCACAATGTTCAAGGAGTCGTCCGGCGATCACGATGTAAGGAATCTATCTGCCCTCTATTCATGCAACTTTGTGCATCTTCTTCTTTATTCCCATAAGAAACTGCACAACAAGTTAACCGAGAAGCCCATTTAGAGAAATAGGCGCCCTTCGAGGAAACGCAGACCGCACTACCACAGCACCGTTCACAATGGGTACTGTCGATCGCGCCTCTGGAAACATTTCTGGAACATCTTAGGCCCTCCTGTAGGTGTCCTCAACCTCCTCCCCCCTCTTCCGCCTCCAGCCGTCTTTGGGCTGGCTTGGAATCTCGTGGGCGCATCCTGGAGGGTCCATCTTGGGGGTATTCTGACAACGTTTGGAGCCGCCTTGGGAGCACACTGTCCTGTCATCGGGGCTTCTTGGGACACATTTCGAGCCGTGTCGGGGGCGTCTTGTGCGGTCTTGGGGCCGTCTTGGACCGCAATGGTCCCCCCCTGGGCCGTCATAGGAGCCTCTTGAGGGAGCGGAAAGGGCGCTTTTGGCCAACCTTGGGCCGTCTTGGGGCCCACTCGGGCCGTCTAGAGCGCTTTCAGGGGCCTCCGTGGCTGTCTTGGCTCTTTCTTTGGCTCCTCTTGGTGCTCTTTTTGGCCGTCTTCGGGTCATCTTGGAATGCTCTTGGGCCGTCTTCGGCGCTCTGACGACCGAAAGGGCGAGTGTGCGGAAATCACTCAGACGCCACAGGAACACTCAAGTTTCTGGCTCTCGTTGTTTTCTTAGGGGGCCTCTTGGGGAGGTCGTGGGGATTTCCTTTGGCCGTCCTAGGGCCGTCCTCGGTTGGCTTGGGGCATTCTTGGGGTTCTCTTGGGTTGTCCTTGGGCCATGAGGAGGAGGAGGAGGAGGAAGAGGAGGAGGAGGAGGAGGAGAAGGATGGAGGAGGAGGAGGAGGAGGATGAGGACGAGGATGAGGACGAGGACGAGGACGAGGATGAGGATGAGGATGAGGATGAGGATGAGGATGAGGATGATGATGATGATGATGATGATGATGATGATGATGATGATGATGATGATGATGATGATTACGATGACGATGATGATGATGATGCTGATGATGATGATGATGATGATGATGATGATGACGAGGAAGAAGAAGAGGAGGATGAGGATGAGGAGGAAGAGGAGGAGGAGGAGGATAGGGGTTGTTGGTTGGTTAGTGTCGTCCCAGCGAGGCAGCATTGTGGGGGCGCGGGCACGGCCCCTTTGGCAGAGGGCAGCAGGGCGGAAGGCTGGCGACTGTCTCGACCCCGCAGCGTCCGCTCAAGCGAAAGGAAGGCACCGCCTGCCGGGCTAGAGAAAAAGGAGTGGGAGGACAGGGGGCAGACCGAAAAACGCCCCGCTGAGCCTGGCCCCGCGCTTCTCCTAGGTCCACGGAGGAGGAGCTGCTCCTTGGCTCTGGAAGCGAACGCGATGGAGAAGAGGGGAAGGTTGGGGAGGGGGGCCTAACAGCGACTCCCTCCCACGGGGACCCCCGCCCGTGCTCTCAGCCGCCCCGTCTCAGCGCAGGACGCAGCTGCGAGACTGAGAAAACGGAGGGAGAGGGGGTCACCCCAGGAGCAGCAGAGATTTGTACTACTCGGCCCCTGGTGGCCTGGCCCAGACTGACGCTTTCTCCTTCTCTAAGAAACTTGCCAGCGCGGCCGCCTCTGTGTAGCCAGCCTCCCACAGTCGCGAGCTCAATATCGCCCTTGTGCTGGCCTCACGCTCAGGCGGAGCGTCCGCTTGGCGAGCGCGCCAGTAGGCACGCCGCATGGCCTCAGTCCGCTCGCATGCTGCCAGTGCGTGGAAAGTGGGGCTGTGTGTGAGGATCCCGCAGCAGATGCATCGCTGGCGACGAACCCAAGATCGCGCCCTACCGATGTGTGCGAGGCGGACAAGGCGAAGGCGCAATCCGGCGAGTGGTCGCTGACCCCGGAGATCTTCCCAGCTCAGGCCTGACGACAGGGCTCGGCGTAGATCCTGCCGGACCCCCCACCCATGGACATGTAAGGGAGCGGTCACACGTGCTGGGCAAACTTCTGGTTGAGGAGCCTGCGGCATCGCTTCTCCACTAGCTCCCTGGCTCTGGCTCTGTACGCTTCCAGGCTGGACCCGGGGAAAACGCCTTCCCAGGCTGGCCGATCCGGCAGGTCCCAAGACTCGAGCAGCTGCAGGGACGCGCGCGACTAAGTCCTTCCAGGCACCAGATGGGCACGGATGAAGACACTTCTGTATAAATCCGAATCCGGAAGCCTCCAAAGGCCTGCACGTCGGGAAGCAACATCGAGCAATGCACGACCAGAGCCTGACAGGGTCCATCCTGGTTCCGCCACCGCTGGAGCGGCATGTTTCCAGGGGGGGTTGTCGAGGAAGGCCCTCGCCCAAGACAAAGAGACTTCGTCCAGCTTGAAAGCTGCCCCGTCCGCTATGGCAACCAGCCACCTACTGAAGCGGAGGAAGGAGTCGACCTTCGTCTTGAAAAGCCCCTCCGCCGCGGCCAACGGGAGGAGCCCACTGGAGATCTGGCCTGCTAAAGTAGCACAATGGACAGATGCTGTGCAAAAGCGGGAAGCCAGTAGACGCTCCAAGCGCAGGTCGCCTTGCCATTGTAGCCGTGACCACTTGTGGGACTCTGGCACAAGGAGCCGGACCAGCTGAATCCCCCGCAACAGGAACGACAAGGGGCGGTGCAGCTCCGCCCGCCGCTCTCGCCAACGCCCCGCCGTGGACCATGCTTGGGTGTGAGGCGAAGCCTTCTGGCGAACGGCCCAATCCGCAAGCACGGCCAGCGACCTCTGTGCGGCCCCTCGGGATGATGCGAGTAACACGGGGTCGTCTGCGTGGAGAATAGCCGCCAGGCGCCGAGGGGCTGAGGCGTCCATGGCCGCGAGGGCGGACACCTCCAGGCTCACGTCGGCAGCGAGGTCCCTGGCGGCGGGGAGCGGCACGTTCTCCTGCAGGGAACGTAGCAACTCAGACGTACGCTCCGCATTTGGATCCCTGGTGCCACGCCATTGGTGCTGTGCCCAAGCCCGTGGACAGCGGGCGCCAATGCCGAATCCACACCCTTCGACAAGTAGAGTTTCGAGCAGGGTGTCCATGTGCGCAGGGAAAGTCAATGGTTCGATCGCCCCCCCTTCTGCAATCCCTTGGGTGAGGATTACTGTTTGGACACTTTTGTAGTTCACATGGACTCGGTCTGACTCTCACATGCTGGCCAGCAGCGGACGCACACCGTCTGATAAACCCACAGAGTCCCTGAGCCTCACCAGGAGCGATTCCCGCCGTCCTAGGGCCATCCTCGGCTGGCTTGGGGCATTCTTGGGGTTCTCGTGGGTTGTCCTTGGGCCATGAGGAGGAGGAGGAGGAGGAGAAGGAGGATGACGAGGTGGAGGAGGAGGAGGAGGAGGAGGAGGAGGAGAAAATGGAGGAGGAGGCGGAACATGAGGAGGAGGAGGAGGAGGAGGAGGAGGAGGAGGAGCAGAAGGAGGAGGAGGAGGAGGAGGAGGAGGAGGAGGAGGAGGAGCAGTGGAGCTGAGGCGGACGTTCCTCCCACGCGCGGCGGCCCGCGACGGCGGCGCCAACCCTCAGCCTAAGGGGCCTTTGAAGTCGTTGGCGGACGCGAGGGCCTCGCCGAGGTGGTCGATATGGAATTTGTAGTCTTGGCCGATCGCGTCGGCAATGTGAGTGGTGGTGACGTCGATGGAAGCGTTCAGTCCATCATCATACGTCGGAGAAGGCGCCTCACGATCACGAAGATCAGCGGCATGGAGAACATATTCAGAAGCAGGGAAAAACTTCGGGAAGATGGGAACTTCAGGTAGATGCATCTTCATGGTCTTCGGAAGGTAGGCGTGGTACTCAGGGAATTCGGCGCGGGTCCTCATCTCGTTCGCGCCTGAATCAAAGCAGCGAGGGTATAGGTCAGCAGTATCTGGATGAGCGTCGCCACCACAAGCTGCAGCAACTCCGCGGAGAGGCGGATCAACACCGGCAACAATCGGCGGTGGAACGGCGCGTGCATCAGCATGCAGAACTTCATCGGGATGTGCAGGCACATCCCGATAGGCCACATAGGGGAGGCGGCCGTGAGGGTCATCGCCGCCGAGCCCGCCGGGTGGGTTAAGTGGGTGCACGCTGGACCTTTTTCTTCGGATGAGGCGTCTGTCAACCTGTCAGGCTTGCTGGCGGGGGCGTCGGACTTCGCTCCTTTGCCAATTTCGAGTGCCCCAGGAATCTTGGTCCAGGGGCATCGGCTTGAGTCCTTTGCCCCAAGCTGTGAGTAGCGGCACCGTGGTTGCTCATCGCCTGCGCCCTCAAGGGGCGCTTAAACTCGGTAGCGGTTCCCAGAGCCAAGATCTCTGGAGGAAGGGGCCCTCGATTGACCGCACAGCCTCGCGCGCGGGATGTGCAGGATGGGCTACGTCAGCCAATCCGTCGCCACCAGCGGCAGCATCGTGCACGACGGGATCTTCAGGACGGGGACGTGCGCCACCGACGGCAGCGTGATGCGGGACTCGTTCGGCGGGAGGAGGTTGCGCGCCACAAGCGGCGGCATAAGGCAGGACGTGATCGTCGGGATGAGCATGAGCGGCAATGCCAGCCAGTCCATCCCAGTGTCGGCGCTCGTTGTCCCAGCAGGTACCCCACCCGTGGTCGTCAGCTCCGTGTGGTCGGACGCCGCGAGCTGCATGATGGGCTGCCGACGCCACTCCGGGCAGCGGAACAGCACGAACATCGCCATGAGGCGCGACAGCACGGCGCACAAGTTCGTCGACCAGACCAGCGAGAGCCAGGCTGCAGCGTCTGAGTTGGAGCAGATCGGAGCGACGAAGGTGCGGCGCCCCAGGGACAGCCCAGGCATCGGAACCGCCATCGAGCACTCGCCGAGGGCCAGCAGGAGCAGCACTATCCACACCTGCGGCAGCATCTTGGACGCCGCCGTGCACACGCACACTAGGCGGAGGAGAAGGAGGAGGAGGAGGAGGAGGAGGAGGAGGAGGAGGAGGAGGAGGAGGAGGGGGAGGAGGAGGAGGAGGAGGAGGAGGAGGAGGAGGAGGAGGAGGAGGAGGAGGAGGAGGAGGAGGGGGCCGTCTTGGAAATGTCTTGGGCCGTCTCGGAGGTCGCCTGCGGCCCTCGGCGTGCCACTGGGGCGTCCCAGCGGGGCCCAGGACTCCGGGAGGCCTCGCCACACTCCCCTTGTCCCCCCATGGCCTGCCCCTGGGCCTGGCTGGCCAGGGGCCCCTGCCCCCCTTTATACTATGTCTGTAGGTGTGTGAATGTATGCATGGATGTATGCATCTATGTATGTATGCATGTCTGTGTGTCTGTCTGTATGCATGCATGTATGTATGCATGCACGCATGCATGTATGCCGATATCTATGCATGCATGCATGCATGCATATATGTACGTACGTACGTACGTACGTACGTACGTATGTATGTATGTATGCATGCATGCATGCATGCATGCATGCATGCATGTATGTATGTATGTATGCATGCATGCATGCATGCATGCATGCATGTATGTATGTATGTATGTGTGTATGTACGTATAACACATGTGTGTGCAGTATACACATGCTTGCCTAGGTTTATGTCTGTGCCTGTACTTGTGCGTGCATAGACACATGTATCCGATGGCGATGCAGGACAACCGACTTTCGTCATATTTTCATGTCAATCGTGGCAATTCCACTAGTGTAAGGCACTGGCGAATTCGCGCGAGACATTTTTCATGCAACGTCACAATGTCCAACTGCACCCGTGACATCTGGAACCTCTGCACAATTGGAGCGCCACGGTACCGTCAAGTTCTACGTCCCCAACCCGTGCGAGGCTAGCAGCTCATCAGGGCGGAGTGAGGGGGGACGGCCTTCGAAGACTGCGGGGGCTTAGTAGATTGGATCGGGGGCTTCTAGGGAGGCCTTTTCGGAAGGCTGGAGGGCTTCCAGGACGCCCCTTGCCTTATGACAAGGCCGCCCCCTCGCCACGCCCACTTCTGCACGCTGCGGGTCGACGCAACCGCCGCAACCATCGGCCTCGACTGCGGCGGGCACTATGGGGCTGCTAGGCGTCATACCTACCTAATGGACAGCATGCAGAGCAGTGACTGTCCAAGTGTCCATCCCAAATTAGCAGCCGTCCACCCCGACCATGGTCTCAACAGCGATCTCTGAGGGTCTTGCCGCCGCCGAGGCCAGTTCGCAAGAGCACGCAATGCCCGTCGACATGACGCGCGCGCGTGGCCATCGCACTCCCAAACCCTCCTCCCCGCTTCTCCGTCCTCCCTCCTGCTCCTGCCTCATCCAAGCCGTTCCTTTCGTAAGCTCGCCATGCGCAGCCAACTTGCGAGTTCCCTGGGCCAACATCGGAACGGCCCTGTCCTGGGGAGGCGGGCAGGACATGGCCGTGAGTACATCCTCAACTAACGGCAAGGCGCGCGCGGCGCCGCTACAAACGGCGGCCAATGTGGGCCTTGTTTCGCCGTAGCGTGTGTGCGTTGAGATCATCCCGACGGCCAACGAGTCATCAAAGTCCTCAACCGGAGCACGTCGGACCCGCAACTGACGGGAGGGGTGCCGAACAATGAAGGTAACTGCCGCGTTCGAGAAGCAAAATTGTGGGCCGTGTGAGAAGGAGGGTTCTGCGACAAACGGCAGACGCGCGCTCAGCCAGCGCCCGAGGACCCTCGCCAGAGGCAAGCCAGGGCAAGGTGAAGCTCAGCCCGAGCCCGATGATTCTCGCTTTGAGGGTTGCGAGAACGCAAGTAAGAAGAGAAGGCTGTGCCCAACGTCATCAGCTACAAGCGCTGGGACCAGGTATTACTGTGTGAGAGAAGGTGAGGTGAGCAGGCCGCCCTACTGCAGACACCCATGTGTGTTGTATTCTACCAGGAGGGGTGGCCGTTGCGGGGGGCTGCCCTGCGGACGACGAGTTCGAGAAAGGAGGGCAGTGGAAACAGTACTGGTACCTGGCGGCATCAGCCACGCTAGTCCGAGCGGCGCGCGCGAGAAAAGAGGGCAATGACAGAAAGGGCTGAAATTGCCAACCACGCCCTGGAAACCAGAGGTACACGTTATTCATTTCTAATCGTGCTCATTTCTAATTGTGCTCGTTGCTAATTGTTCCTGGCCCCCTAGTGGCCAGGAAGATGCCCAGGATAGAACGATTAGAAACGAAAGGATCTTGGCCCCCCCAAAACTCAAAGAGCTTTGGAATACTTAGACATGAACAATGTGTACACTGCTGGGACAAGCAAGTCTGCGAAAAATGTATACTGGAAGCGAGAACGGGCGGGGCGCCGTGAGATCCGGACAGCAAGTCTGGAGCCCGACGGCATCAGCTGCACTTTGCGTGAAAGCGCGTGAGAGAAGGCAGAAGGGTGGCCACAGGCACTGACGCTGCGTAAGGAGTTCTGGGTTTGGACGCTGGAGCAAAATGTGATAAATTACACGGGTGGGGCTGGCGCGTGCGATAACGGAAGTCAGTGGCAACAGAAGCAGGCGCTGACCATGGGATTCGGGACACGGATCTGGAGCCAGCCGTATTGCAGCAAGGACTGTCACAGCACGCAGTAGTGGGCGGGGGAGGGGGGTGTTGGAACACTTTTTAAGTCAGCAGGCGCAAGAGTGCAGGAGCCGTGCAGGAGACGGTCGGGCTACGGGGGAGACACACCGGGAACTATCTGAGGCACAGCGAAGAAAACAACAAGAGAAGAAGAAAACGAAGGGGGCGAGAGCCGCTGAGAACGTGCAGTCCGTCGCGAGTGTGCCGCGGATGCTAGGCGCCGAGGCGCGGCTGCGACGCGGGCAGTGGTGGCCGGAGAATAATGGAACACACACACACACACGCACGCACATACTTACAACTACCACGCCGCGGTTGTTCTTCTACACCTCCTATCCGCTGCGGTGCTGAAAGCAGCTCGTGCGAGGAGGGGCACAGGCCCTCTGAAGGACAGTCTGGCCCAGGGACGACCCGGGTGGCTGTGCATAGCCTGCGAGGGTCCTCCGCCTCAAGAAGCACGCGGATCATGCAAAACGCTGTCAGTAGGAGCGGAGGAGGAGGAGGAGGAGGAGGAGGAGGAGGAGGAGGAGGAGGAGGAGGAGGAGGAGGAAGAAGAGGAGGATAGAGGCAGTCCGCACGCGCGCTCAGGCGGGCCGGGAAACAGCAGGCGCCAAGTGTCCAGCAGCCAGAGGGGGGGCACGGGAGGGCGGCCGCGGGGGAGGGAAAGCGGGGGAGCGGAGGGCACTCACTGAAGGGGCCCTGGGACACACAAATAAATACACACAAATAGCAGGATTCCCTATATTTTCCCATATTTTCTGGGTTTTTGTCTTCCCCCCTACTTCCCATATTTTTCATACTTTCCTGGGAATCGACGATTCATTGTGTCTGTGTGTTTTTTCTCCTCCTGACTCACAGGGCGAGGTGCATGGGGATGCGGCACGGCGTTCCATTGCATTGATCCTCTTCCTGTTGCTGTCGCCGTCGGCATCGGTGTCCATCCACGGACGCTGCCACCCCTCCTCCTCCCAGCGACTCGGCGCCCCTCGCAGCCCAGGGATGGCGCATGGGCGAGTTGGGATCGATGCATCCCCCCCTGGGCTTATCCCCCCCTAACGTTGCCTCTTAGGTTTTCGGGTCATAAACCGGGTCTCTGGCGGCCAATCAGGACTCGGGCTCTCGGCGAGGCGCAGCCGCCGGAAGGCATCCCGAGGCTGGATAGCCGCCGAAAGCCGAAGAAAACGTCAGAAAACTCAGACCTCGATGGCGCAATTCTCCTCTCACTTTTTCCCTCCGTCCCTTCGACTGCGACGACGTCAGTGAGTCAGCGACGGAGGTCCTCCTGGAGCGCGTCCGCGAGCGAGGCGTAGGCATCAGAGAAGAACCGGGACCGCGACTCGCCCGCCCACATCCCGCGCAGCCACTCGGCCGCCTCGCGGACCGAGGACACCGAGGAGGGAGAGAATCGCTCTGGGAACGTTTCGGTTTGCTCACGGACAGCCCTCGGCGGTGGACAAACCTCCCTTTAGCAAACCACCCTTTAGTGAAAACGGCCAAGGACCGAAACCGACGGACCTGGTCCCGCAACCATGACGGCCGCGACGCCCTCTCGCGAACCGAAAACGGCCGATTCGCTAATCGACGTGTCAGGGTAGGAGGTCTATCAACCTCCGAAGCCCCCCCCCCCCAGGCAAGCAGGCCCGGCTGGCCTCAACATTCCCCCCAGAGTAGTCCGGGGCGGTCTCAGCACCCTGGCGCCGCCTTCGGCAGCGCAGGGTTGAGGTGTTGACATCGCCCCCGAGTGCTCGTCGCCGCCATCTTCGCCGGCGTCGAGTTCGGAGGGGGGGGAGAGAGGGGGAAGGGAGGAGGAAGAGCACTCATAACTCCGATCTTGTGACGCAATCAAGACCGCAATTTCTGTCCTCGGTTTTGGCCTCCGAGGCCGCCCGGGCCCTGGAAACATCACAAGGGAATCGAGGACAAGCGGTCGAGACCTTTTGGGCCCCGTGGCCACAGGTCGCTGTCGCCGCCGTCGTCGCCGCTGGCGTCGTCATGGTAGACTGGGCTGGTAAGATTCGTGGTCGGAGGTTCGAGGATCGAAGATCGAGAATCGAGGGGAAGGAAGATCAAAAGGTCAGGCGGGATCACTGTTGCTGCCGTCGTCGCCGTCATCGCTACCGCCGTTGCCGTCGTCGTGGCCGTCGTAGTCGCTGTCTGTAGCTTCATCGGCAATGTCGTAGTCGTCGTTGTTGCTGTCGCCGCCGCCGTCGTCGTCGCCGCCGTGGTCGCCGTTGTCCGTACTGGCGTCCGCTGTAGTAGTCGTCGTCGTCGTCGTCGTCGTCGTCGTCGTCGTCGCCGCCGTCGTCGTCGTCGTCGTCGTCGTCGTCGTCGTCGTGCAGTCGTCGTCGTTGTCACCGTCGTCTTTGTTGGAGAGGGTTGGGGATCGAGGCTCGAGGGTCGAACCTCTGTCCTGCAATTTGCGCACACCTCTGGGGACTTTTGGATGTTTCGTCCTCTTTTGTGCCTGCGGGGGGGGCGTCCGTGTTGCCACGGCTGAGACCGCTTCGACATCTTGTTCGGGAAGTGAATCGGGAAAGATGCATGGGCTGGTGCTGATGAGGGGACAACGAACTAGTGGGAGTAGGGGTGACAAGATGAGGAGCATGATGATGATGCTGATGATGCTGCTGATGATGATGATGATGATGATGATGATGATGATGATGATGATGAGTGTGATGTGATGATGCTGATGCGAATGATAATGATAATGATGAGGATGAGGATGAGGATGAGGATGATGATGATGATGATGCTGATGATGCTGAGGAGGGGGAGGAGGAGGGCGAGAAGGAGGAGGCTCGTGTCATCAGCAGGTCTGTCATTCTGCTCTGGGGCCCAGCCCCAAGGGTTGGAGCACTCGGGGTGGCGGAGGCCGAACCCGAGCTGGCACCAGCCGACGAGGACTACAACCCTGCACGCACCGAAGGCGCAAGGCGGTCTCGAGCTCCCTGTCGCAAGGGCCCGAGGCGGCACGGGCACCACTTCTCCGGCTTGGCGACTCTGCCGCCGCACGGCGGCGACAACGGCACACCCGCGCGCTCCTCCTCCTCCTCCTCCTCCTCCTCCTCCTCCTCCTCCTCCTCCTCCTCCTCCTCCTCCTCCTCCTCCTCCTCCCCCTCCTCCTCCTCCTCCTCCAGGTGCCTGCGTCTTGAGAGGGGTGTTTGCTGTTCTCCACGGATGGAGGGCCGGGTCCGTCTCGAAGCGTGGCGCTCCACTGCACTACCGACGCGCCCACTCAAAGCCGTGTGCCACAGCCCGTGCAGCTGTACCATGCTCTCTATTTCGCATCGTGAGGCCTCGCCCGCCTGCACCTTTCTGGAGGAGGATCATGATGAACGGGACTGTGGGCCGCTGCGTCAGCAGGTTGCCGAAGCGACCTCGGAGCAGGGGCAACGTGGGCGCACGGTGCCACGTGCACTCAAGGTCAACGTCCACTCCACAAATCCGCTCAGCGTGATAGTCCGCCATCAGAACAGAGGCTTCCAAAATTGCACGGCAGTCTTGGCCATGGGGATCCTATTCGCGATCGTGAGCACAAGGATGGGCAACCATGGACTCGACAGGCACCCTAACACTCGCGCAGGGGACCTGCGAAGCATCGGAGGGGCACGACGCGCCCGAGAACTGCTCCATTTCCTCTGTATTCTCTTTCCCTCCTCCTCCTCCTCATCATCCTCGACATCCTCCTCATCCTCCTCCTCCTCCTCCTCCTTCTCCTCCTCCACCTCCTCGAAAGAGAGGCCGTGGGGAGAAATATTCTCCCCCATGTTGATCGCCTCGGCGGTGGTGGCAAACGTGGCCGTCTCCTCGGTGGCGTCCTCGGCCTGCGCATTGCAAGTGGCGGTCTCGGAGGCCACCTTGGCGCCATCGTATTCAAAACTTGCCCGCATTCCGCGAGCGACGTCAGCAATGCCAGCTCGGAGTAAGGGCCCACTGCGTTGAAGACTCCTGGGGGCGGCGGCGGTGTCGGAATCGACGCGAGCGTCCTTGGAAGGTTCAGTGTGGCGGCCTGGAGCATTGTTTCCGTCGTTGCTCGCACTTTTTCTTTTTCTTGCCCTGCCTGGCCTAGCACTGGATCAGCGGAAACTTGCCCTTGATGAGAGACCACATGTGCTGTGGACGGGTGCTCGCTTTCCGCCGTCGGCGGGCGCGCGTCGCCATCGGACAAGGGGATATTCGCGATTGCTGCTTCTGGGGCCCGCTCGAGCGCCAGCCTTCACTGCGCGTGCACCTCTGCTCGGCTGCGGTCACCATCGCCGCACTGCGAGGCGGCCATGATGATGATAGCCGCACTAGTTCAAAGAGACAACGGCCAGAGCTGGGTGAGCCGTGCATCCACCCTCGGGCCGAGCGAAACCACCGCGCCTGAGGCCACCGCGAAAGGCGCACCCCCCGCGGAAGTACCCCGCCCACCCCGCCCCGAACGGGCCTGGGCAAGGTGCTTGAGTCCAACCCCGAACCTCGGCCTCGTACAAGGAGAGCTGCACGAACCCAATCAGACCGGGAGACGTATTGAAACAAGAAGAGGGGGCCATGCAATCGGGGGATCTGTCATGGCCCCAGCCATGATATCCCGCCCCTCTTTTCATCACCCCTCTCTGTCCCGCCCGAGCAAAGGACGACGCGCGAGCCTAGTCAGACGTAGAGGCGGCCGGGGGTCTGAGCTGGCTGGGGCACTAGAGAATCGGTCAGCACAGGGGGATGAAGCCAAATCCGTTCAAAATCGGCCCTGGGACCCCTCCCAGAGTCCACGTGCTGCAAAGTTTCACCCCCGATGCGTTTCTGACGGCCCCGGGGCCCGAAAACTGGCCCGGGGGGGCCGAGCGAGGCAAGAGACCGGATCGAATCCACAACCTCGAACCTCGCCCCCCCCCCCCCTCCCCTTCCTGCTCGCCCGCGGCCACCTCGGGCCCCCCGCCGCCCCCGAAGTCCAGCCTGCAGCCTCCGCGGCGGGCACGGCGGTGGCGGCAGCAGCGGGCGCCCACTGCCGAGGGCGCGCCGCGCGGCCCGCCAGCGGGAGCCCCCGCAGCGAGCGCCCAGCCTGGCGCAAAAGGCGCGCCCCGGGCGGCGCGCCGGACGCGCTGCCGCGCTCGCGCGGGCAGGGGGCGGCCAGGGAGGAGGGCCCGGGCAGGCTTCCCTCGGCTACGCCCTGCGAAATGCTTAAGAAATCATGGGTTAAGAAATTCATAGTCTCAGAAATTGACTAAAACCCAGAACTTCTATCAAAATCTTGGGATTTACATTCAAAAATTAAGAATAATCGAGACTCTGGCCACAACTTTAGGTTTTCTTCAGCATCGCCTAAGGTCTACGCCCAGGAGCGACCCTGGGCAAGAGTGACCTGTGGTGCGCGGCTTCACCGGGGGGCGCGGGGTGGACAGGCCTGGGCGCGCAGGCCGCTGCCGCCGCCTCGCGCTCAGCGGTCGGGGGGGCCACTGGGCCCGCACCGGAGGTCCTTCCGGCGAGGAGCCACTCTTACGTCTAGTCGGTTCACTGGATGGGACGTCGCGCCCTGCTGCCACGGCCGTGTCAGGGGGCCAATCATGCGCTCGAGCGCGCCCCGGGGCTGAGAAAATCGACCCATTAGATCAGAATTCCCGAGCCCGAGTCCAGGGGCAATTACGAGGATCTTGACACCTGGGGGCCAGGGTGACAGGACAGCTTCGCAGAACCTGGAGGGCATTCCATGAGCGGACGGGGCCGAATTCTGCGCCTCACGATTTTCTGGGCGGGCCATCGCGTCGCGCCACACCTTCCCAGACCCGCCTGTCCGATGACGATTGCCCCGCCAGTTGAGCACCAGAGGCGGGGCGAGCCCCGAGAGCTCCGAGGCTCCTCACTGCGAGCGGCCACGGCGTCAGGCATGGGCGGCCTTCCAGCACCCGCTTCCCGAGGGCGGGCGCCACAGGCCGGCCGCATGGCAGCGCGCGACACCGCCGAGCTGCCATGCACGCAACCACTGCCAACCCTCGTGGACGGCATTGCTGAAGGGGCCCTGGGACACACAAATAAATACACACAAATAAAAAGATTCCCTATATTTTCCCATATTTTCTTGGTTTTTGTCTTCCCCCCCACTTCCCATATTTTCCCATATTTTCTGGGGAATCGACGATTAATTGTGTCTGTGTGTTTTTTCCCCTCCTGAATTGCGCGCGTCGGGCTGAACGGACTCGGCCTCGTCGACGTCCTGGCCCGAGGCGCCGCCCGCTAGAGAGACGCCCGGCCGCGACCGACGCTAGGGAGTCCAAGGAAGCAGCTTCGCACCCCTACCCGTGCTGGACAACCGCCGGTACGCCGTGACACGTGCAGTAAATCTGCCAAATGGTGCCGTCCGCTTCCCTAAGATCGCCATCGCCGCAAGGCACGATGCCGAGGACATCGGCGGCCACGGAGCTCATCGCGCGGGCCAGCCGCGCTCTTGAGAGGATTGCCGTCGTAGACGGCCACGTCAACGTCAATCCTGCGAGAGTACGGGGTCTTCAGTTGCTCCAGCTTGTCGAGCAGCCTCTTCCTTTTCCTGCCTCAGTGCCTGCGGTCCGCGCGCCGCATGCTCCCGGCCTGCGGTGGACAAGATAATACCCCCTTGGGGGGACACGCAAATACCCCGTGCGGGGTTCAATACAATACCACCCACGGTGAACGTGGCAATGCCACCTGCGGTGGACAATGCGATGCCACCTGCGCTGAACACCTAAGTTGTAATCCCTCTGCGTCGTCGTCGAGTGCGGTCGGCAGGCCCAACTGTCGCACCAACTCCTGCATCGGGCCGCATGCGTCGTCCTCGATCACATGGTCAATGGTGGCTCCTGCCTGCGGCCAGCGAGGGGGACTGGCAAGACAATGAGGAAGGTGGCCTCAGTGCCGTCCCACGGCGCCCAGTGGCCAGGCTGCCAGTCGAAGGGTCGGGCCCGATCTGTCTCATGAGCATCGGCCTCCGAACCAGGTGGCGGCAAGTTACCTTCCACCACCCGGCTGCCGCCAGTGGCTTCGAACGGATCGTGAGGCTGGGCTGTCGTCCACGTCGATGCCAACCTCCCGCGTGTACAGGGCCTCCGCGGCCTCTGGCAAGTCGAGCAACATGAGCTCCCAAGCGGCAACCGCTCGCCTCGGCGTCGGCGGTGAGGAGGGCCTCGGAGGAGGGGGCAGCGTGGAGAGGCGCCGACGTGGCGCCCCAATCCCAAGCCTGCCCGCAGCCCGTAGCCCCGTGGACCGCGGACGAATGCCGCGTCGCTGTTGGTCGCCGTTCCCAGCGCCAGTGCCGCGGCACGAAGGGCGGCGCCTCGCTGTGCAGCGGGGCCCGCCACTGCGCGGTGGCGACCCTGCCATGGCGCTGCGCCTCCTCCACCCGACGGGCCAGACGCGCTCGCAGGCGCTCGAAGGGCTGGACAGCCGCGGGGGCCTTGCGCATTCAACAAGCTGAGCACCGCCGCGGCCCGGCTTATGCTCCGGTGGTGCTCGACGTCGCACCTTTTCCCGTTCTCCTACCTGGCGGTGGCCGTAGACTGGGACCCAGGCGCCGTCGGGTAGAAAAAGAAGAGGAGGACGAGAGAGGAAAAAGAGAAGGGTGACAGGAGAGACGGGATGTGAAGAAATTGCAGTCGCAAGGAGAAGCGCAGGCGGGGGGCGATATTATCAACAACAGAAACGAGGAGGAACAAAAACAGGATGATGATGATGATGAGGATGATGATGATGATGATGATTATGATGATGATGAGGATGATGATGGTGATGATGATGAGGACGAGGAGGAGGAAGAGGCGGAAAAGGAACCGCGGCAAGGAAAACGGTCTGACTGAATGAGAACGGATGAGGCACTGACTGGGACAATGAGGAACAAACGCAAAACAAACTTTTTAACCTCGGCGGCTAGATGCCCCCCAGATGAAGGGGACCATGTCGGGCAAAGCAAATCGCAGTGTGACTCCTCCGCGGGAGCCATAACACATCGGCCACGGCGAGAAAATGAGCACCGAGTGCGCCGCTCGCCCGCCGCACAGCGCATGCGCCTCACGGCCACGCGGGCATTGCCGCGCATTGCCGCGGACCCTGTCGCGAGGGCGCACCCCCAGCCTCACCCGAATGGGCGGCGAGCGGCGGATGGGGCCTGGGGGCCCCGACCTGGGGGGGTGGGACCCCGGCCAGGGGTGGGGGCCCAGGCCGCCAACCCCCGATCGCCCCCCCCACGGGGAGGCGCGGCCCCGCCCGCCTCCGCCAGTCCTGCGGCCTGGTCCCCGGCTCAACTTGTACCCCGCCGATACAGGCGGCGCTAATTATCTCACCGGCTCCACCAGTGGGGGGTGCCCCTGCAATCCCCGAGTCGTTGACGGGGCCCCTGCTATCCAAGCGGGGGGGCAAGCAGGCGCAGAAGGGAAGAAGGACGATGATGAGGATCACGGTGTTATGCAGTAGCGATGCTGCAATATCCCCCCCGTCTCAAGTCCCTCCACAAAAAATCCCTACAAACCTTTCCTTGTCCAGTGCAAGAGAGACGCCTCCATGGCCACGAACACCCTGTGAGCCTGCCGTGAAAGCGATGGTCCCGTTTCGGAAAAGAGATGCTTTGCATCTTTCGACCTAATAGCAAAGAGTGCGAACAGAAATGACCGTACAATTCAACGACGTGTCGAACGAGACTCCCGCTTTGAAGAAAAGACCGCCCCATCCGTGTAATTGTTGTACAACTCTACGCCTCAGGTCAAGAGTTTCGAGGAAGTATCAATCGAGAGACAATTTTTGGAAAGAAGCCGTCCGCACAACTGTGACAGACGTGTCAGTCTCGGGTTTTCAAATTTAAAGGCATTTCAAACGAGAGCCACATTTTGAACAGGCGCCGTTCTCGATCCCTGTTCCTCGGATGTGCGCGGTGCTAGGATTCGAGCTCCATTTGGAAAACAAAGTGCTCTCCACCTTTGGAGTTGCTGCAAACGTATACAACAACTGTGCGGGTTGCTAATGCGAACGCTACATTCTGAAAAGAAGCCGCCCTCCATCCTGGTAGTTGTTGCAAACTTTGAAGACCGATGAACGCGGCGCGAGGGGGAGAACCCAAGTTGAAAGAGAGGCGGCCTTCATCCCTGTAGCTGCTGCAAGCTTTTAGAACACATGTTCGCGGCGGCAAGCCAATAGCTCTCTGGGAAGCCACACCTCCAACCTTGGAGCTGGTGCGAGCTTTTGAGACGAGTGTGTGCGGTGCTGAGGCGAGAGCCATATTTTGGACACGAGCTGTCCTCCCGTTTCGTGGCCCCACAGGGAACCCCACCGAAGGCCCCATTGGCAGGGTTCGCATGGCGCCGCCCCGCCTCTAGGCGCTTCGCCGAAAGCGCTTGTGGCAACGTTCGCATGCGTCCTCACGCCAATTTCGGCACACCTTTGGCACGTTTCGTGGCCCCACCAGGAGCTCCACCGAATGCTCTTGTGGCAGGGTTCGCGTGCGTCCCCCTGTCCATTTCGGCGCACTTTCACACTTTCGTGGCCCCACAAGGAACTCCCCCCTCCTTCGGCATCTGCCTTTCGGTTCTCCCACTTGCACGCGGTTGGGTTCTTCGCCAGGATTTCTTTTGGGGGGGCCTGGAACGCAGCAACACAAACTGATGTGTTCGTATTTGGTGGGCGTTGACCCATTCCCACTGCGGGGGCGGTTGGCGGAATCTCCTACGCACACATCAAGTCAGATGGCGCGCATCGCTTGTTCCCCTGTAAAGCTAGAACTGCACAAAGCAGCAAAAACGTGGTCACCAGGCAAACTGGGAGAACACTCCGTGCCTTACGGCTGGTGCGCTCAGCATGGGGCGCCCTCGTCTGCCCGCCGTACCAAAAAGTATCTATGCCAGGACCACGAGCGCGTCTAATTCGAAACATGTCCTGTGCACGTCTGTTGGGGCGGCGTGTCCACGACCTTGGGCGCAGTGCTTGAAAAAACGGCATGAGCACAACATTTCGGAGGTCCGCGCACATTGCTCGGATCGGTGCTGGACCCCCCTCCCCGCCTGGCGCGCGGAGCGCGCCAGCGGCGGCGCCGGAGGCGCCGCTGGGGGGTCGCAACGCCGATCCGAGGGATCCGCGCGGACCTCTAAAAATTTATGTGTACACAGTTTTTTCTTCCTCGAATAACCCGCACATGCCCCCTCCAACACAAAATGCTAAACATGTTGCTGCGGGGGCGGATGCAGCATGTTCGGGCCCAGCGTGCAGCAAAGCAAAAAGCCATGCGCCAGCTCTTTGCACGGCGCTTGGGCACGTTGACCTACTGTGTGGGGGACTAGAAAAAACAAGACAGCCAAGGAGAAAGAGGAAGGCGACGAAGAGGTGAGGAGGAGGAGGAGAAATCAGAGGCAGTGCAGATGCAGAACACTAATACTTTGAGACAACGCGCTGGGTAGGGCGCCGCCTGCACGGAACTGGAACCGCAGGCAGCGCACGAAACAAATCACGCTAGCATGCAAACAAATTAGGTGTCAAAGGAATCATAATGCAATCCAAAATTCCAGGACCAGATCAGCAATGCAAGGCAGAGATATACAGGGCAGGCGTGCGACTCTAACAAGTCATCCGAGCGCGTACGATGGTACGAGACGTGTGCCTGGGCGCATGTCCAGTGCCCTGGTGATGCCGGCGCCTCGTGCACACGAGGCGGCAGGGCGCAGCGCCGGCACGGGGAAGAGCAGGTGCTGCCGCTGCTGCTCCTTTTGCTTCTGCTGCCCCCCCCTCTGCTCGCTGCCCTCCTCGAGCCTTCCCGCCGCGTGCTCCCGGCAGCGCAGGCCAACCGATCTCGGGCGGCTCAGTTGGGAGTCTTCGTAGCCTCGAGGCCACGCACGAGGGTCAGCAGGTCGACGTTCCTAGCCGGCCCCTTGAGCTTGGCGATGCCTGTGATCAGCTCCCCCTCGCTGATCACGCCGTCCATCGAACCCGCGATGAGTGCGAACAGCGTATCCGCGTTGTCGCAGCGCAGGTCCATGGCCTCTAGCCAGGCCTTGATCGTGGGCTTCTCGAAGACGCGGCGGAACTGCTCCCGGCCGAGCACCCCGTCCTTGTTCTTGTCCGCGAGCTGGAACAAGCGTCTCATGCGTTCCTTGTGCTGGACAATCTGCCGCATCCTGCTCCTGATCATGATGAACTCGTCGCTCTCCGCCACGGAGAAGGTCTCCTTTATGAACACGCCGTTGATCACGCCGACCACGGCGAAGCCGATCGACAGCTTCCACAAGACGCAGATGGGCCCGAAACATTCGTGGAGCTCCTCGACCATGAACCGCGTGAGCGTGGGCCAGTTCGCCAGGGCGAGCTCGAACATCGAGAGCATCGACCTAGAATAAGTCCCGAAGTACCGGAATAGCTCCTGCTTCGCCTCGGGCTCCAAGGGGGAGTTCTCTCCCAGGTATGCGACCCGCAGCACGTTCGTGAGCACCAGCGCAAACAAAGTCAGGATCGTGATCAGGAGCATGCTGGAGAACATCAGAGCGCCCAGGCTTCCCTTGATGGCCGTCGTCATGAGGTGCAGGGCATCGAACTGGTAGATCTTCCTCATCAGGCGGATTAGCCGCAGGAGCCTGGCCAGGCGCAGGATGCGGAACACCTGCATGTTGACCGCAGTGCCATTATCGTCAAGGGCCAGCGACACGTCGGAGCACACAACGACGGCCAGGTCCATGAGGTCCATTGGGTCTCTCCAGAAAGGCCTCCGGTGGCTGGGCCAGGCGAAGTTCGCGCACGTGAGGTCATATCCGAACGTGATGAGCAGCTCCAGCGTGAATAACCCTGCGAAAAGGCACTCCGCTGTGTAGAACGCACTGTCGGCTCCATGCCACCACTTGCAAGTATACTCCTTCGAGCCATAATAGGCGTATATGTTCCTTAGCTCGTAGCCGCGCTGCATGCCCTTGTACTCCTCTTCAAGGATCATAACGACCAGGTTGCAGATGATGAGAAACGCCCAGGCCAGCTCATACTGCGGCTTGCTCATCAGCCATCGCAGGGAGTAGAACACCCTCGGTGGCTTTTCCACCTTTAGAAGATGAAGCAACTGCAAAAGCGTACATATTTTGAGTTCCGCGCGGATTTTTTTGATCGGAGCTGGACCCTCTCTAGTGCGCGGAGCGCGCATGTGGCGGTGCGAGAGGTGCCGCCAGGGGGGCCAAATGCCGATCAAAGAAATCCGCGCGAAGCTCAGAGAAACTATGCTTATGCTATTTTCTGTTCTTCGAACCTTGATGTGATTCTCTGAGACTCTGGGACTCTGTTTGCAGAGCTGCGACGCGGACGGCTTGCGGAGTTGGTCGATGATGCGCTGTTCCCTGTCCCAGCTGTTGTGGCCGACGAAACTGGCGTGGCTGCTGTTGTGGCCGACGCTCACGTACCCGTCCGTACTGAAGTCCTAGAAGCACAATCAACAAATGCATAACCATAAACTTTCAGAATTCCGGGTGGATTGCTCGGATCGGCGCTTGGCCCCCTGGCGTTCTCCGCGCGCCAGGGAGAGGGGGCCCAATGCCGATCCAGGACATCCGCGCGGAGCTCCATCAGTTTGTGCCTGCGCCGTCTCTTGCTCTTCGAGGGCCTTGGACAGGATCTCGTCGATCTGGTCGTCGGAGTTCTCGGCCGATCTGCCTCCCCTCTGCGACTGCTCGCGGGACACGCTCAGCGAGGACGCCGCGACGACGCTGCCGCCGCCCAGGGACCTTGAGCCGACCACGTCCCTGCCGCCGCCGCAGCTGCGCAGCAGCATCTGCGAGAGCGCCGCGTTGCCCCGCCGCAGCTCCTGCGGGTCCCAGGGATGCACCACCACCACCACCACCACCACCACCACCACCACCACCACCACCACCACCACCACCACCACCACCACCACCACCACCACCACCACCACCACCACCACCACCACCACCACCACCACCACCACCACCACCACCACCACCACCACCACCACCACCACCACCACCACCACCACCACCACCACCACCACCACACCACCACCACCACCACCACCACCACCACCACCAACCACCACCACCACCACCACCACCACCACCACCACCACCCACCACCACCACCACCACCACCACCACCACCACCACCACCACCACACCACACCACCACCACCACCACCACCACCCACCACCACCACCACCACCACCACCACCACCACCACCACCACCACCACCACCACCACCACCACCACCACCACCACCACCACCACCACCACCACCTCCATGCCCCGCCCCTCCTCTGCCCTCCTCTTCTTCTCCTCTGCCCTGGGAGAGGGAGGAGAGGAGGAGGAGGGAGGAGGAGGGAGGAGGAGGAGGAGGAGGAGGAGGAGGAGGGAGGAGGAGGAGAGGAGGAGGAGGAGGAGGAGGAGGAGGAGGCGGAGGAGGAGAGGAGGAGGAGGAGGAGGAGGAGGAGGAGGAGGAGGAGGAGGAGGAGGAGGAGGAGGGGGGGGGGTGGAGGCGTCTGTTCTTGGGCCCCCGCAGCTCCAGCCGCAGCGCCTGGTCCGCGTCCCAGCGCTCGAAGGGCGACCTCGCGCCGCCGTCCCCCGCGCCCCCGCCGCGGCGCTGCAGCACATGGCCCAAGAGCTCCAAGTGGAGGCCGCAGTCCGCCTCGGGGCATCGTGACGCCGATCCGTGTCCCCACTGGCGTGGCCCTGGCCCCACCTCGCCATCGCTCGGACGTCCATTCCTCGTGTATTTTTCGATTTCGTGCGTGTTTTTTCCGCCAAATGATCAAGGATGGTCCTCGATGGCCGTCGCCGAGAAAAACTACACACGTCCGAACGATGCCAAGCCACTGGCCGACGTGCCCATCTGAGTGGGGATCTGTGACCGTTTTTTCCTCGGCGGCGAGGCGGAGGCAGTCCGCTCCACCGTGAGGCTGATCGGGGCAAGCGAAGGGCGAACAGTCCAGCGGGATCTATGATTGCGTACGAAGCTGCATTGGCGCTTCGCGCCCTGCACCTAGGTCCTTCAGGGTTGGCAGACAGGCTGAAGTAGAGGAAACACAGTAGATGTAGCGATAGCTCATGATTACCTTTTCCGTTCCGCCGTCATAATCATCTGATTCCTCCTCCTCCCCTCATGTATCCTCTTCTTGTCCTTCATTCTCGCCCTTGCCTGCGAACCCTGACTCCATGCTCCGCAGCTCTTTTGCAGAGGCTCATCCTTGGAGAGCTTCTTGGGGGAATTGCGATTTTTTGTTTCAGGCCCCCTGGGGCCTTCTGGAGGCCTCTTTGGCGCCTTCTGGGATCCGTTGGGGGCTTCCTCTGGCCACCCAGCTTCCAACCGCTGCCTCTCTGAACGGCCAAGTCACGATTTGGAATGCTTCGGGGGGCGTCTTGGGTCAATTTGGGCCGTCAGGAGGCTCTCTTTGGGCCGTGTTGGGAGTCTGGGGCTCTTGTGGACCGCCTCGAAAGCTGTTTGGGTCGTTTTGGAGCGATTTTCAAGCATCTTGAGCGGTCAATTGGCAGATTCATGCTTTGGTGTGTTCCCAAGCCTCTTGGGGGTCATCTCTGGGTCGTCTTCGTGCGCCTGGTGGGTGTCTGGGGCCGCGCGGGGCCCTCGCCTGGCCGCTCGGCCACCCTTCTGGCCGTTTTGGGCCCCGCCGGACTAGGCCCAACAGGCGCGTCCAGGCGTAGTGGGTTATGCCGCGTCTCCCTATGAAATTCTGAGGTCTGTAGCTGAAAATATTACTGTCAAAGAGACGTAGAGGAACCGACTCCGTATGGGACTGAAAGAATGCATCCTTCGCGTTTGTTCAACTGACATCCAATAGAACTTTCTTCTCGTCTTCTGAGCACTAATACGAGGTTCACGGCGGTAACCTGGTTGACGGTTTACCGTCGGCTCCCAGTACCTCGTAGAGCTAGCTCTTCGGCATCGCTGAGCCCCGGGAAGCTCGGGGAACCTTCTGCAAGGATATCCAAGGGGGTCCCCAAGGCCACGGATCCGGGGGTTCCCCTTCTTCCGGGGGGGGGCGGGGTCGCCCCCCTTGGGTTGCAAAAACGTAGAGAAGGGAATCCACATGCATACATACACACACATACGTATATGTATGTATGTGTGTGTATATATATATGGGTATACGGTCCTAACGGGGGGCGTGTCGAAATTGCGAATTGTACGATGTTCTGTTGTGCTTTGCTGTTATGCTTTGCTGTTTGAGCGTTCCCTTGTGCTCTTCTCTCTCTCGTGTCCTCGTCCTCTTCCTCGTCATCCTCGCCCTCGTCGTCGTATGGGCGAGATACACATACATTCCGTATGTCGGCGGTGGGAAACACAACAAACTTTGGGAAAACCATGGGACAAACCCAAAAACCCAAAGAACCCGAAGTGCTGGAAGCGAGAACTTTAGGGACACAATTGGAAAACCAACCAAAACAATTAAAACAATAAGTATTCCAGGGAACACCGTCCGAAGGGATAAGCCCGAAGGGAAACCCCGCAGTCTCCGTGGATTTTTTCTTCAATGGTTTTCCTGAAGTTTTCGCTTCAAGCATTTTCTTTCTTCTCCAATGGTTTCCCCGAAGTTCTTGCATTCCTTCCGAAGGAGGGGGGAGGGGGAGGAGGAGGAGGAAGGTATAATCCCTTGGTGGCGCTGTCCAATCCAATCGAATCCTTTTGTGGCGCATTCCGAAGGATTCCTGTTGCGAGGCTTTCCAATCGAATCCCTGCGTGGTGCTTTCCAACGGATTCATGCTGTGAGGCTTTCCAATCGAATCCCTTTGTGGCGCTTTCCAATCCAATAGAATCCCTTTGTGGTGCTTTTCAAAGGGTTCCTGTTGTGAGGCCTCCCGATAGAAACCCTGTGCGATGTTTTCCAGAGGGCTCCTGTTGTGAGGCAATCCAATGGAATCCCTTTGTGGTGCTTTTCCTGAAGACTCCTGTTGTGCGGCCTTCCAATCGAACCCTTTAGTTGCGCTTTCCAAGCCAGATTCCTGGTGTGAGGCTTTCTAATCAAATCCCCTTGTGACACTTTCCAATCTGATCGAATCCTTGTGTTGTGCTTTCCAAAGGATTCCTGTTGTGAGGCTTTCCACAGGATTCCTGTTGTGCGGCAATCATTCCTGGTGTGAGGCTTTCCCATAAAATCCATTGGTGGTGGTTTCCAATTCAATGAAATCCTTGTGTGGTGATTTCCGCAGGATTCCTGTTGTGAGTCTTTCCAGGAGAATCCCGCTGTGGCGCTCTCCAATCCGATCGAATCCCTCTGTGGTGCTTTCCAAAGGGTTCCTGTTGCGAGGCTTTCCAGTAGAGTCCCTGTGAGGTGCGTTCCAAAGGATTCCTGTTGTGAGGCTTTTCAATATAATCCCTTTTGTGGCGCTTTCCTTCCAATCCAATAGAATCCCTTCTGTGGTGCTTTCCAATTGGTTCTTGTTGTGAGGCCTTCCGATAGAAACCCTTTGCGATGTTTTCCAACCGGCTCCTGTTGTAAGGCAATCCAATGGAATCCCTTTGTGGTGCTTTTCCTGAGAACTCCTGTTGTGCGGCTTCCCGATCGAATCCTTTAGTTGCGCTTTCCAGAGGGTTCCTGGTGTAAGGCTTTCCAATCGAATCCCTTTGTGGCGCTTTCCAATCCCATAGAATCCGAGGCTTTCCAATCGAATACTTTGGCTGTGCTTTCCAAATAGTTCCTGTTGCGCTGCAATCATTCCTGGTGTAAGGCTTTCCAATATAATCCCGTTGTGGTGCTTTCCAGCGGTTTCCTGTTGTGAGGCTTTCCAGTCGAATCCCTTTGCGGCGGTTTCCTTTCCAATCAAATCCCTCCGTGGTGATTTCCAAAAGATTCTTGGTGTGAGGATTTCCAATAGAAGCCATTTGCGATGCTTTCCAAAGGATCCCTGTTGTGAGGCAATACAGTAGGATCCTTTTGTGGTGCTTTCCAAAGGGTTCCTGTTGTGAGGCTTCCCAATGCAATCCCTTTGTGGTGTTTTCCGAAGGCTTCCTGGTGAGAGGGTTTCAAATACAAATGTGTTTGTGGTGCTTTTCGATCCCATAGCATCAACAGAAACCCTTTGCGATGCTTTCCAAAAGGTCCCTGGTGTGAGGCAATCCGATATAATCCCTTGGTTGTGCTTTCCCAAGGATTCCTGTTGTGAGGGTCTCCACGAAAATCCCTTTGTGGCGTTTTCCAAAAGATTCCTGTTGTGAGGCTTTCCAATCGAATCCCTTCGTGGCACTGTCCAATCCAATAGGATCCCTTTGTGGCGCCTTCCGAATGATTCCTTTTGCAAAGCTTTCCAATCGAATCTTTGTGTGGTGCTTTCCAAAGGATTCCTGTTGTGAGGCTTTCCAGTGAAATCCCTTTTGTGGCGTTTTCCACTCCAATCGAATCCGTTTGTGGTGCTTTCCAAAGGGTTTCTGTTGTGAGGCCTTCCAATAACAACCCTTTGCGATGTTTTCCGCAGGTGTCCTGTTGTGAGGCAATCCAATGGAATCCCTTTGTGGTGCTTTTCCTGAGGGCTCCTGTGTGCAGCTTTCCAATCGAATCCTTGAGTTGCGCTTTCCAAAAGGAGCCTGGTGTGAGGCTTTCCAGTAGAGTCCCTTTTGTGGCGCTTTCCGATCCAATCGAATCCTTTTGTGGTGCTTTCCCAAGCATTCCTGTTGTGAGGCTTTCCAATAGAATCCTTGTGTAGTCCTCTCCAAAGGATTCCTGCTTTCCAATCGAATCCCTTTGTGGTGCTTTCCAAAGGATTCCTGTTGTGGGGCTTTCCAATAACAAAACCCTTTTGTTGTTGAATTTTCCAATACAATAGAATCCCTCTGTGGTGCTTTCCAAAGGATTCTCACTAAGAAGCCTTGCGCTACCCCGCCGCCCTCAGCCCGAGGTTGCACTGCACCGCTAAAGCAGGATAAGAGGATGAGGAGGAGCGCCGGAGAGCGGGGAGCAGATGAGGGAGGGGAAATTATATATATATATATATATATATATATATATAGATATTTATAAACACCCGAAGAATATGTAGGATCTTGTGGGTGACAAGCATCTCTCTCTATATGTATAGAAACACGTGTGTGTATATATATAAAATCAAATAGAGGTTCACGAATCCGTGACACTGCATTGTCTCTGCCGTGGTGTGTAAGAACAACAGATCAGGGAAACGATGCCCCCCGTTAGGCCCGTGCGGCCATATATATATGATCCCCCTCTTCTCTTTCTCTGCGCCAGAGGCTCAGTCTCATAGCGCATCCGTCTCGACCACAAGGAGGATTTCGACGCGAAGCAAGGACTCCACAACACAGGAACTGAAGTGACAGCTCTATTCTTGACCAACTCCTCCAGAAGTGGTTGACTATACAGGCGGCGGGGAGGTAGGCGGAGCCAGCAAACTACGGAAGCAGCAAGAGCAGCCCTGAAAATAAACTCACGGGCCGGTAGGCCTGCAACTAACTGCCACGGCGTGCGTTTCAGGACCGAGGGATCATTCACCAGCAGGCTCGCGATAATGATCCCCCTCTTCTCTTTCCCTGCGCCAGAGGCTCAGTCTCATAACGCATCAGTCTCGACCGCAGGGAGGATTTCGACACGAAGCGAGAACTCCGCAACACAGGCACTGAAGTGACAGCTCTATTCTTGGCCAACTCCAAAATACTTTTCCCAA